TCCAGAGAGCAGCCCTGAGCATTATATTGTCTTAGTAACTCATTTATTAATTTTGGAGAGATTTTTACTGTAGGGTGCGTTCATTCAGTGGGTAAACAGAAAGAGATAGAGAAAGAAAGTGAGAAATCACCCCCTGGGGGCATGGCCATGCCACAATCCCTTCTCCTCTATTCTCCTCTTGGGATTTTGGGCACACATGCACACACGCCTAGCGTGAGTTTCGAGCCACCAGGTCCAGGACTCAAACCGTGGTCGGCCATATGGGAGTCCAGCAACGTAACCATTATGCCATCTGCTGGTTCCTTTCCTTATTAACTGTAACATAAAGAACCCACATAAGTAGGCAAAAGAGGTAGCGACTTTGGTTCCATTATGGCTTTGAATAGGTCTCAAGCCTAGAATTTGGGCACGAGAGACCATATATCATTAGAGATTGGCCACCCAGCCACCAAATAAGTGCCAGGTGACACTTTGGACCTTCTTTCTTTCTTCTGGGAACTTTTCTGATTTCACCGAAGGAAGAGCAAGAGCAGACAGGCTGATCCTAAGGACAGGAAGGAGAGAGTTCTGGGGCCAAGTGTGGGGGTGAAGGACTGCAGGGAGCAGCCAGCACCCGCCATGCCAGGATGGGGTTGGTGGAGGCTTCTCAGGTGTGGGGCTGGCCCTGTATCCTGCTGGTTAAGGGAGCCAGAGCCCACATGGCCAGCTGCGGCTTAAGTCCTGCCCAGTGCTTGTGTGTGTGTATGCGCATGACCTTAATGCTGATCCTGAGAGGATGGAGAAATGGAGGGGAAAGGACTGCAGCATGACCATGTGACACTGGTCATGGGGGGTGCTTTCCCGCTCGCTCTCTATGGGGGGTGCTTTCCCGCTCGCTCTCTCTTTCTTTTTGGCAAGTATCCATGCCCTCTGCAGGAAGAAACAAAAACAAAAGCAAAAAATCCTCAGGGGGCCAGCCAGGTAGTGCGGCAGTTAAGGCGTCTGGATCCCACATGGTTGACCACATGGTTCAAGTCCCGGACCCAGTGGCTTGAAAAACACATCTGGTATGTGCATGTGTGCCCAAAATCCCAAGAGGAGAATGGAGGAGAAGGGACAAGAGCGTGACTGTCCTCTCTGACGGATGGTTTCTCACTTTCTCTCTCTCCCTGTCTTCAGAGAGTACACACTCCCTACAGTAGATTTTACAAATAAACCGACTCAGGTATGGAAGGGGGAGGGATGCTACGGCATGGCCAGGAAATGCTGATGCAGAAGCAAGTGGCAGCCCTGTGGCCACGCTCCCCACTGACCTCGATGAAGAAGAGTGCAGCGTTGGAGGTGGGGTGACCGCTGATGTAAATTCCAGCCAGGAGGACAGCTGCCACAAGGAGGGCCGCCAGCACGATGCCCACAATGGTGCCCAGGTGCACAGGGGAGCCCGGGGTCTTGGGGGACAGGTTGCTCTGAAGGCCTGTGGAAAGACCGTTAAGGCAGGAGGGACCGGGGGAGGCAGGGAAGTCTGGGCCATGGAGTCTCAGGTTCTGACAATGCCCAGAGATGGAAACTCACAGAACTCCAGGTCTCCCCATTACACACATGAAAACGTGGGCGTGAGAGTTGGTAGAATCCTTGTGAATATGGCACAAACGTCCTTGGTGCTGTTTGTGTGGCTTTCCAAAATCACTTAAAAGTTACCCAAGTGGGGGCCGGCAGGTGGTGCGGTGGTTAAGGTACTGGACTCCCACATAGCCGACTCTGGTTCAAGTCCTGAACCTGGCGGTTTGAAACTCACACCAGGTGAGCGTGCATGTATGCCCAAAATCCCAAGGGGAGAATGGAGGAGAATGGATTGTGGCATGGCCTTCCCCCTGGGGGGCGGGGTAATTTGTTGCTTTCTCTTTCTCTGTCTCTCTCTGGTGAGTACACATGCCCTAGAGTAAAAAAATCTCTCCAAAAAAAAAAAAAAAAAAAGTTGCCCAAATGTCTAATAAGGATCCCAGGAGAAGTTGTCTCTGATACTTGTGTCACAATAAGCATTTTAAAGGAATTACAGAAAGCATGTGATGGTTAGGATTTGGGATCTGGGGACCAGCAGTTAGCATCATGGCTATGTCACTGAACTCTAATGCAGTCGACCATGGTTTGAGTCCTGGACTCAGTGGCTTAAACTCACGTTGGGTGCGTGTGCGTGCGTGCCCAAGATCCCGAGAGGAGAATGGAGGAGAAGGGATTGCGGCGTGGCCATCCCCCCTGGAGGGTGATTTCTCGCTTTCTGTCCCTCTGTCTCTCTCTGTCTTTCTGATAAGAGCACACACCCCATAGCAAAAAAAAAACAAAACAAAACTCTCCAACAACAACAAAAAGATTTGGGATCTGGAGTCTGGCTGCCTGGGTTCAAATCTCTGTGACCCACCACTTACTAGCTGTGTGGTGTGAGGCAGACTATTTACCCTTCCTGTGTCTTTGTTACTACTTCTGTAGAACAAGGATTGTACTAGTAACTCCCTAATGGGTTCCGTGTGAGGGTTAAGATATGATCATTCATGTCGAGCGCTGACAACTGTGCCTGGCATCACTGGCCTCTTAGAAGACCTCAGTAAGTGCCACCTGTCACGACAGTGAATTGTCATACTTTCTGCTTGTCACTGTCCACGACCAGACTGCGACCTGCTAGAAAGGAGGGACAGTGTCCCATTCGTCTCTGTTCTCAGCTCTGAGAAAACATGGCAGATCCATCGCAGGCACTCAGTCAAAGGCTACAGAATGAATGAGGTCCCCTGGAAGCTCGTAAACCAGCAGGCACGCTCTGAGGTCATCCCGCTGTTTGAAAGCCATTCCAAGGAAGAGGCAGAGCGTTCTCCATAGACTGCAGAGCTGGAAGCGCACCCTGCCCAACCCTCTTCTTGTATGACTGAGATGATGGAAACACAGAGAGGTTAATTTGCCCACAGACACGCGCCTTCAGAGCTGGCCACTCAGAAGCCTCCTTCCCTGACCTGACCTGGGGGGCTATAGCATTTGCCTCTTCACCTCCCCCAGAGGAATCAGACAACGCGGTAGAGAGGACAGGGGTGAGGGTGTCAGCAACAGAATTGCTGACTCTGTTTTACGTGGCTAGTGGGTAGGATGAGAAGTGACGGGGAGGGAGATTTTATGGGAAGTTGCACGCATTCACAATCATTGTCCTCCCGCCCTCTTCTCTCTGCCTGGCACCCTGTGAGCAGAGGAAACCCAGCAGAGAAAGGATGGGGTGCTCCAGCGCAGGCTAGTGACTCCATCTGCCAGCAGTGGAAGGTGAAAGGCCCCCAGCTAGAGTCCCCCAGCCGGCATGGGGATCGGCCCACAGCAGCAGGGCCCCTGATGGCATGATGATCAGGGATTCCAGCAGGGATTCGGCTGCTGAGAGTGAGGGGACTGTGCACCCACCCCTGACACCCGATGCCTACCGAGGTCACAGCCTCTGGGCCTGGGCGTCAGGAGTCGAAGGCATTTCCATCTCCACTCTTGCAGCATTGTGGCAAGGGCCTGGGCTGACCCTGGCCCAGGGTAGGAGAGTGGAACCACCTCCCATCCTTAGGGAGGAGATTATCCTCCCAGGTAATGGGGGTGGGGGATCCCACCTTCTGCCACCTGCCAATATTGTCGATATTTCGTGGGGGGTGTTTGTGTGCTCTCTGCCAACCCAGAGTAGGAATGGAAGGAAACAGGTGGGAAAGGGTCCCCCAGTCCTCACTGCCTGTGAGCCCCCGGAAGGAGAGGCTGATGTCCCAGGCCATGCCTGTCCACTCGCCCTGGCTCAGCACTCCGCCTCCCCCTCAATTCTTTCAGGACAGTGAATATAGACAAGCAAAGAGGCCAGGAGAACCCAGAGCTTCATGGCTCAGAGAAATGTGTGTGTGATCATGTTCCTTCAATCTAGAGGGGCAGAGCCCAGAGCTCCCCTGCCTTCCCACCCACCAGGAGGTCAAGGAAGCTCAGGGCGGTTTTGCTCCCACCCTTGCCCCCCACAACAGGCCGGGTGACTGTGGCAACCTCTTCTGGAGCGAGTCCATGAGGCAGTGGGTCTGATAAAGAGGAGCAGGCAGTTCTGTACTCACCCTCTCCTCCTGCGTAGGGGTTCAACTTGGTGTCATCTTCAAAGAGAGAGGACAGAAGGAGCGAGGTTAGTGGAATCACGAGGGCCTTTGTCTCTCAGAGTTTGGGTGGGAATTTATGGAGGTTCAGTCTAAACTTCCGTCGTTGAGGCAAAGAGACTGAGGCACCGAGAGGGGAAGTGACTTGCTCAAAGTCACACAGCAGTCCAGCATAGCTGAGCACAGAGCATATGTGGCCCGGGGTGGTAAGAGATGAGGCCAAAGGAGGAAGGCCAGCCATCTGGAGAACGAAGTTGAGACCGTGCATGTTCTTGATCACTAGGCCATGGCTTTGGTAGATTTGATTTTGAAATCACAGCAATCATCATTTAATGATCACATCACTATTTTAAAAAGGAAATTTAAAAAGCCACCCTGGGCCAGCTGTGTGGCCTGGTGGTGGAGGCAGCTGGATTCCACATGGCCTACTGCGTGGTTGGTGTCCTAGACCTGGCAGGTTGAGAAATAAACTGGGCACGTGTGCATACTTGCCAACATCCCAACAGGAGGGAGGGATCAAGGAGAAGGGACTGCACAGTGACCATTCCCCATGGGAGGTGCTTTCTCCTCTCCCTCCCTCTCTCTCTGTCTCTTTTTTTTTTTTTTTTTGGAGAGATTTTATTTTGCTATAGGGCACATGCGCTCGCCAGACAGACAGAGAGATAGAAAGCGAGAAATCACCCCCCAGGGGGGATGGCCACACTGCAATCCCTTCTCCTCCATTCTCCTCTCGGGATCTTGGGCACACATGCACACACGACTGGCGTGAGTTGAAGCCACCGGGTTCGGGACTCTAACCACAGTCGATTACATGGGAGTCCAGTGACATAGCCATTACGCTAACTGCTGGTCCCTCTCTCTGTCTCTTTGATTCTCTAGTGAGCATACATGCCCTCTAACAAGAAAAAGAAAAAAAAAGGAAAGCAACTCCTTAAGGGCCCACCCTGTGGCACAGTGGTTAAGCACTGGACAACACGACTGGCGGGAGTTGAAGCCACCGGGTTCGGGACTCTAACCACAGTCGATTACATGGGAGTCCAGTGACATAGCCATTACGCTAACTGCTGGTCCCTCTCTCTGTCTCTTTGATTCTCTAGTGAGCATACATGCCCTCTAACAAGAAAAAGAAAAAAAAAGGAAAGCAACTCCTTAAGGGCCCACCCTGTGGCACAGTGGTTAAGCACTGGACATAGGAAACCGAATCCGCACGGCTGACAAGTTTGACTCACAGCCTGGAGGCTTGAAAGCATAATATGAGCATGCACATCCATGCTCGACACCCTGGCAGGAAGGAGAAACGGAAGAAAAAAGATCGTGGCATGGTCATGCCTATTGAGGGCAATTTAAAAAAGCAACCCCTAAAAATACAAAGTAAAACCTGAAATGGAAAATTATTGGTTGACAATAACATGTATGATTAAGCCACTTGACAGGGTATTCTGGATTGGAAATCGCATTTTGGATGCTGTGATGATGTTCAGTGAAAGAATGTAAAATGAATCAATTAATAAAAATAAATAAATAAAAACGAAAACAAATAAAATAATGAAAGCTAAAAAAATAGCAAGTAAAACAAGATAGAGTTGTGTAGACATATGAAGATATATTTTCTTTAGGAATTCCAATAAATAACGTATTTAACACAAGTATGCCTCTATGCTGTTACTGTAAGTTGAAAATAATAAATGGATTACTAAAGTATCACCAGGCAAACAAACTTGATTCAAATCAACTTGTGAATCCAGTCCACAGGAAATCAATAGCAGCCCAGGGTACACCTTTCAGTGGTAGACAAAAGGAGATGGCTCAGGGACCAGCAGATGGCATAATGGTGACCTCACTGGATGCCCACATGGCCGACCGCAATTTGAGTCCCGGACCTGGAGGCTTGAAACACACCAGGCACATGCATGCTCAAAATCCCGAGAGGAGAATGGAGCAGAAGGGACTGTGGCATGGCCACCCCCCTACCAGGGAGTGATTTCTCACTTTCTGTCTCTCTGTCTCTCCAGCAAGTGCATGCACCTTATAGGAAAAATCTCTCTTAAAAAAATATCTGTACTCAGGAACCAGCAGTTAACGTAATGGCTATGTCTCTGGACTCCCACGTAGTCAACCCCGGTTCACGTCCCAGACCCGGTGGCTTAAAACTCACGCCGGGCGCATGTGCGTTCCCTCTCTTTTTCTCTGTCCCTTTCTGGTCAAACTAAACTAACTAAATAAATTGAAATAAAATAATTCTTTCAAAAATATATTGCTTTTTTTCTTTTCTTTTTCTTTTTGAGAGGTATTTGCTATATAGCGTGTGTGCTCACCAGGAAGACAGAGATGGAGAAACAGAAAGCAAGAAATCACCCCCCAGGGGGGAGTTTGTGTTGCAATCCTTTCTCCACTCTCCTCTTGGGATCCTGGGCACGCACGCACACACACCCGGCGTGAGTTTAAGCCACTGAGTCTGAGAATCGAACTGCGGTAGGCTTTATGGGAGTCCAACGACATAGTCATTACACCAACTGCTGATCCCTCAAAAATATATTTCTTCTCTTTCTTTTCTCTTTCTTTTCTTTTCTTTCTTTCTTTTTTTCTTTTTTTTTTTTTTTCCTGTAGGGTGTGTGCACTCAACAGAGAGAGACCAAAAGAAAGAGGGAAAGTGAGAAATCACCCCCTCCAGGAGGATGGCCATGTTGCAATCCCTGCTCCTCCAATTCTCTTGGGATTTTGGGCGTGTGTGTGTGCGCACACACACACACACATACACACACACACACAAGCATGCCATCAGGTCCAGGACTCAAACCGCACAGTCAGCCAGGTGGGATCCAGCTGCCATCACCACGATGCCAGCCTGGCTGGCTGGTCATTTCCCAGTAGTTAGTGCTCCATTCCCGCTGCTTTCACTGGTGCGCTGCGCGGTGCTTAGGAGACGAGCCTCGCACTACACAGTCCTTCTGCGTGAGTGCCTGTCTCTGCGCAACAAAACGCATGGGCTTCGTGGCAGTCGTCTGTCACTCGGAGGTCGTCTGGTTCGTTAAGTGGGAGCATTCCTTTGCAAGTGAACGGCTCCAGCTCCGACAGTCCAGCCCAGGCTGCCTGCTCCCACTGCGCTGTCTGCTCTCTCACTGGGTCCTGCCCAAGCAGGTCCCTCTGCCAGAGTGCTACATCCCCCTCCCTGTTCAGATTGTACCCTGAGAGGGAGTGTGCGAGATAGATTCTACCCTGCACTGCCTCTGCCAAGTCTCCCCGGGGAGTCTCTTCATGGCACAGGCAGGAGGGCCACTAAAACCCGCCCTGCCAAGACGCTGTGAAATTTGGGCAAAGGGGGGTGTCATTAAAAGTTTTTTTCTTACAGATGTAACTCCATCCTCTCTGCCACCTGCTCCAGGACTCGAAGGGCACAGAGCCATAATTGTTTCCACTTACTCTAATTAATGTTTTCTGCCAGGAACCATTACGCAGCAAACGGATGTGAGACCCACTCCTGGACTGGCAGGAGAGCCACATGGATCATAAAACTGGCAGAAGGACTGGCTGTCTCTGTGTAGGAACTGCCCACCGGGGCGGTGATGTGGGAGACTTAACCCTTAGGAGACCAAGGCAGGGTTTGAACTCGGCCCCCAGGTGCCATGTCCTGGGCACTCCATATCCACCATAGTGGCCCTTGGGCCTTTGACCCTCCAGCTCAACAAAATGGTAAACACTCAAGGGGTGTGTTGGGGGTGTCTGCATTCCCCCAGCCCAGCAGCGGGCTCAGAATGGCCCTCAATAAGCCCATGGGGTTACTTCCTCCTATGTGGAGTTTCCTTTATCTGAAAGATCATCCTGGGGACCAGCAGTTAGCATAGTGGCTATGTCACTGGACTCCCATGTAGTCAAAGGCAGTTCGCGTCCTGGACCCGGTGGCTTAAAACTCACCCTGGGCGCGTGTGCGTGCATGCCCAAGATCCCGAGAGGAGAATGGAGGAGAAGGGATTGCGGTATGGCCATCCCCCCTGGGGGGTGATTTCTCGCTTTCTGTCTCTCTGTCTCTCTCTGACTGTCTGGCGAGCGCACACGCTCTATGGCAAAAACCTCTAAAAAAAAAAACAAACAAATAAACAAAACAGAAAGGAAGATCACCCTGGACTTGGTTAACTCCTCAAGGTCCAGGTTTCTTGCCGGTTCTTTTTCCTTATCTCCTCCACAGCACCAGTACACGCTCCGCTCTCGGCCTGAGCGCTACCAGCTCCCTGTCATTCCTGAGCAATGTCAGAGTAGTGGGGGCTGTCCCAGTCTGCCTCTTGTGTTCACCCTTCATTGTTTCACCCTGCCCCCTGAGTCCATGCAGACCCTGTTCTGTTTCTCTTAGCGTGGAGAGAGGCAGTGGGGTCGAGGGGAATGAGCACTGCTTTTGGAGCCAGATGAGACCCACCCGTGTCTCTTCCTGGCTGTGTGGCCTCGGCGTCTCCTCTATAAACTATCCACCTGTCTATCCACCTGTCTGAGCCTCGGCGTCTCCTCTATAACATAGGGATGTAACAGCCAATGCCCAGGATCGTTAGGGGAACTGAGTATGTTCAGACTCCCCCAGACTGCGAGCTCTTTCTACCATTTGTTTTGACTCCTCTATAACTGTCCTGGGCCAACTCGCCCAGTCCCTGCTCTGGTTCACTAGTTCTCTGGGCAATGTTTAGAAAGACACTGGACACCATGGGAGAACATTCTACCCCCCACCCTGTTCCCAATCGCTCCCCCCCCCCCCCGCCCATGTAACCCTGAGTAACCCACTTTCCTTCTCTATGCAGCAGGATCATGGCTAAATAATCTTTAAAATACTGATTTTTTTTCCTCTCTCCTTCCTTCCTTTCCAGTTACTCCTTTCAAGCAGGCTCCGAATTCATAAGTCTTTCCATCTTAGCCTAAGGGAAAGGAGTTTGCAGACCAAGATGTGTGCATGGAAAATGAACAGCGAGAAGACAGGCAAAAACCCTGGAGGACAGGGAGAAGGAAGGGGTTTAAGGGCCCAGGGTGGGCGGGGCCAGCACGAGGTGTCCCCGGATGTTGAGTACGCCACCACCCGCCCCGTGGCCAGACCTCTTCCAGCTCCAGCCAAGACCCCCAGGCCTTGAGGTAGCAGAGAAGCCATGAGGATGGCCAAGCCTTCATAGGAATCAGCTGTGGTCCCCCTTGGACACTCAACCTGCTGAAGATTCTGGAAGCAGGGTGCCAAGTGCCGCAGCGAGGTGGACTCCTCCACTGCGCCAGCCTAGCAGGGCCTGGGAGTCAGAAGCTAAGTTAAGTGATAGGAAATCAGGCCACCTTTCTCTTGCATCTACAGGTATAAACAGAACTCACACCTGCTACAGGGACACGAGGCCTCTCAGGTCCTGCCAGGATTACTAGTCAGATTAACTGAGAGAAGTTCTGTGAAATTCCTGGCACGGGCTGGTTCATTATTTTCACTGCTCCATAGTAAATTTTATCCCACAGCCCTGGTAGGCCAGCACAGTGATTAGAGCCTGAGACTGGAGTTCACTTGCTCAAAGCCCACCTCCACGACTCCCCAGCAAGGGACCTACGTTCTCCAGGGCCCTCATCCATAGAGGTTGGGCAGTTCCCCTGCCAGCACATAATCCCCTCAGGAGTAGTGCGTGCACAGGGCAGGGCAGCTCTTCCCTACGGCTCCCCTCCCCTATCCCCCCTAGGCTCCTGCCTTACCTTCAGTGGTGAGGCTGTCTGCAAAGAGGGAGGAGGAAGTGGTGGTGAGGTCTCTGTCAAAGGGACCCAACGAGCTGTCAGGGGAGGCTGAGAAGTGATCCTCGTCCTGGAAGTCCTCACACGTCCTGCCTTCTGCCTGCAAGAGAGACCCCAGCCCTGCTGCCCCGGACGAATGCATTTGCGCCTTCCTTTCATCCCCGAAGTGTCTTATCATACAGGGCCATTTACCCATTGGCTGCTCCAAAGCCTTCTTCAAAGCAGCAGCTGAGATGCCAGTCTTAAATACATAGAGAAAATCTGCACATTTCCTGACAGCCAACATCAGTGGGCTGCTGGACACAGTTTTAAGTCCAGAAAAAAAACAGCTCACCCAGGCCCAGACTAACAAAACAGACCATAATGAGTGCATGACAGTGGGTCTGAGGGTTATGTCTAAAGGCTGGGCCCAGCACCTTCTAGCTGTGAGATGCAGGCCAAGCCATTACAAGTCCCTGAGCTCCAGTCTCCCCCTCTGATGGCCACAGTGCTTGGGGTCATGTTAACTAAGGGTGAGTGGAGGGCAGACAGCAGACAGCGGGTGCTTGGCATAGGCATTGCAAGAGAGAGGGGGCAGGGAGGGAAAAGGACACGTGGGTGACCAGGTCTGTCAGTGTTAGTCTAAGGTGTGAGGATAGGATGCTCTCCACCAGAATTAAAGCACTGAGTATTCTGGAAAATTCTAGCCATGTGTCAGCACCTGTATGAGATTCTAATGGGAAGTGCCCGGAACAACCTTCCCTCATGAATGACAGCCTTTCTCCAAGACCAGAGGGCCAGAGCCTCGGCAGGAGTGTCATCAATGTCACCAGGTGCACAGCCTCCAGGAGGAGCCAGGTTGCAGTGGAAGCCAGGTCCAACGTATGTTTTTTATGAACCAAGAATGCCCGGGGAGCTGCCTGCCGTAGGCCCAGTCACCAGAGGTGCTTGTCTCAGGGCCACGGAGCCCTCTAAAACCTGCCAGAGCTGGTTTACCTGGCTCAGAGCAGTCTGGAAACAAATCCCAGATGGAGGGGAGGGTATGGCCACGGGCTGAAGGTGCCTTGAGAAGAGCTACCAGTACATGGTTGCTGGTAGCGCTTCCATCCCCATCACGGGGTACCGGGACTCGGCAGATCACACAGGCTCTCACCTCCTGAGCACAGCCGTAGGCCAGCCATTCCTGGCGGTAGCGGTCAAAGCCACTGGAACATCTGCAGGGGGGGCAAAAGGTCAGAGGTGTGATGGGACTGACAGAGACACTTTCCCCTTCCCTTCTCCCTATTTAGTAAAGCTGAGCCCCCAGGCCTGGGACAGTCGAGCTCCCCAAGGCCACGGGGCAGGTGTCCTGAGCACTGGCTGCAGGGCCAGAAGTCAGACCCTCCTACCCACTCTACTTCTTCTCTATACAGAGGGGAAGGGAGGGCATCCCCACATTCCTTCTGATCCAGCCCCCCAGAACCGAGGTCACGAATGCCCAGGTACGTGTGGCAGATGGGTGGAGGGATGCTATGTGGATGGCACGACCTCTACTGAGCGTTAAGGTCACCTTGACGCTGTGCTGTCAGAGCACTGCTGAGAGTCCAGGGGATTCATCCGGAGAGCTTTGGTCTCTCACAGAGCTCCCCCAGCACTGCCGGGGCCTGAGCTGGGACGGAGAGCTGGGCCAAAGGTGAGTCTCAGTCGACTGAGTCAACACCTCCTGGTGTGATGGGCAGAGATGGGGACCAGCAGATGGCATAGCAGTTATGTCACAGAACTCCCACATGGCTGATCACGGTTCAAGTCTCAGACCTGGTGGCTTGAGTCTCAGGCTGGGCTCATGTAAGTGCATGCCCAAGATGCCAGGAAGAAAACAGAGGCGAAGGGGCTGTGGCGTGGCCATCCTCCCTCGGGGGTGATTTCTCACTTTCTCTCACACTGTCTCTGTCTCTCTCTCTGGCGAGCACACACCCCCTAAGTCAAAAACTTCTAAAAAAAAATAGTAACGGGGCAGAGATGAAGGTCCTGCCAGAGGCTGGGAGAGATGGAGCACTGGCTGACAAGGGCCTCTGGGGAGGAGCCAAGCACCCCTGAGGGAATGGTCAGGGCATGCGCATGAGCAGAGGACATTCTCCAGGGCACCGTGCTCAATCTCTGCCCTTCTCACTCCAGCACCAGCCCCCCCCAGCCCGCCCCAGCCCTGCTCAAGGTCAGACCCATCTTCGTGGGAAGAATGACATTCCGAACCACCCGAACCACAACTACCTGCCCGTCTGCCCCAGATATGGTGAGGCTGAGGGCGAGGCTTTCCAGGATCTCGGTTTCCTTCTAAAGATGAGAGCACTCGGCCCTGAGCTCTGGGCTGCTCCTCCTGCCACAGAGGCGGCTGAGCTGACCCGTAACATGTTCTCTCAAGCCCTCTGTGCCCAGGACCTACGGAGGCTACTGGAGGCTGGGAACTAAAGTCTCTTTGACATCAAGTTAACTGGTCCTTTAAAGATTGAGCCTTTCGTCCAAGAAGCCTAAGAGCATCTCGTTCCAAGCCCTGAGCCACCCAACCTGGATTCAAAGAAGGACATGGGAAATGGCCACTTAACGTGCCTCTCCCATGTGCCAGCAGCTGCTCAGCCACTCGCTGCTCCTGCACCATCTCACGTGACCCTCGTGATGACGCTGTATGGCAAAGATTATGACCTTCATTTCCTGAGTTAGTCCTGGAGTAAAGGTCAACCTTAGACTGCAGAGTAGGCCAGCTTGGGCAATGTAGAGTGCAGGAAAACACCTGCCAGGCTGTGATGGGTCCCAGAGCCCAAGGAGGGAGCCCAGGGAGGCTGCGGAGGGCAGAGTGGGTGGTGGGGAGGGGACGGAAGGAGAAAACCGCCCAGCGATTGAAAGCAGCTGTGGGGTGGGAGAGGCCACGTTGGCCCCATTGCACCAGCTCTGCCTGCTGGCTTCTTAGGGACCTGAGGTCATTCTCAGTTGGAGTTGAGACTCCAGAAGGCTGGAAAGGAAGGGCAGGCACTGGAGCAAGCCCAGGCCCAAGGGGCGCCTGGGGAGGGGATGGTTTCCACCCACATCAGCCTCACTCCCTCTGTTGGAATTGCTCTGTGCTGTAGTTAACATAACCACAGCCAAGGCGAGCCCACATCCAGAGGCCCTGCCCCTGCCCCAGCCTGACCAATCTCTTCATGTTGAGGGGGGCCCAGCCCTCATTCAAAGGCCATGCTCTCTGTGTTGGGCGTGTGCATTAAAAGGGGGTTGTGCTGATGTGGGGGTTTAGCTTAGGCTGACCCATTTTGCAGTTCTCATGGCTCAGCTCTTGTTGGACGCTGAGTCATGTGGAGGCAGCTGGCCCCAGGATCCTAGGGCTCATCTGAGGTCATCTCGGTGATCTCCCCATCGCTGAGACCATGGCTCTCAAATCGAAAAGTGTACAGGACAGACCTCTTCAAAAATCAGATTCCTGAGATCCTGCTCCCAGAAGGTCATGTTCAGTGGGTTGGGGCGGGGCCCAGGAATGTGCATTTTGACAAACTCTCCGAGAGCCTCGCAGTCTTGGGGTTTACTCTACCAAACTTCACTCTGGAAAGAACCAATCAGCATCTACCCTATGTATTCTCACTGAGGTTCATGACCTTCATGTGAAGGACCATGGATGCTTTGTAAAAATGCTATTTAGGAGGCTGGCAGGTGGCATGGAAGTTAAGGCGCTGGACTCCCACTTTGTTGACCATGGTTCGAGTCCCAGATCTGGTGGTTTACTTTCTCACTTTCCTTCTTCTCTCTCTCTGGTCAAATTAAATAATAATAATAATTATTATTAAATAATTCTTTTTAAAATGCTGCTTGGTAATTAAGAAGTTTAAATATAACAAAGTGCCTTCCTCACCCACATCACCCTAAATCACATAACCCCAGCCCATTTTACAGAGTAAACAAACTGAGGCCCCAGAGAGTCAATAAAAGCACAGCTGGTGGGAAGAACACCTGGGAAGCCTGATGAGCGCACACCCTCTCCTCCCAGTCCAGTGCCAAGCCCTGTGTGCTAGGCAGGCTGCCTGTAAGGACGAGAGCTTCTATTTCTGCACTGGGTTATTGGAAAGGAGCAAAGGAAATGCTGACGGATACACGACAGCTGCATGGGAACTCAGAGGTGGTAATTTTGCAGTTGGCGAGATTGCCTTAAAGACTCTCGGAGTTCATAGGGATCCCCAATCTCATGAGGGCCTTGGTCCCCAAAAGAACCCTTGTTCTCTTTTCCTCCTACTGTTTATTTATCTTGGACAGGGAACAGAGATTCAATTCTGAGTCTAATCTGTTAGGAAATGACTTCAGAACAAGGAGTGGAAGATGAGCTGGATTTAAGAACTTGATCCCTACAATTGACTCTCACCCAGAACTTTCTGAGCTTCCCAAACCAAGTAAATGCAGCTTGGTAGCGTCTCCCAGCTGTCCACAGATGCCTGCCATGTCCACACCTCTGGTTTCCAGGAAACCTGGTTATAGATCGCAAGGTGATATTGAGTCCTGGGGTTCTTGGCCAACAGCAGCGGGCCTTCGGATCACACCCTGCCTCTGAGCCGGCAGTTCTTACACTTGTTTGCAGACGAGGCACCGTGTTAAAATGCAGGTACTTGGCTTCTCTCCCAGAGATCCTGATGCAGAGGGTCTGGGGCAGCCCAGGAATCTGCATGTGGAAGAGGAGCCCTAGGTCTGGGCTGCTCACGGCTATGTGGCAGCTCTGATCTGGGATGAATGAGCCTTTCCCATGTGTGTGTGGAGGGAGCTGCACCAGCTGGGATCCCTAAATAGTTGTCCAGAAGACCAGCGTCACCCCAGACCACCCAGACACCTTAATCAGTCATAAGCCTTAGAGGAACATCTCACGTCTGTGACCTTCTACGGATCAGAGTGGCACTGGCCAGAGATCTCATCCTGTTGGTCATGTTGGCTGATCGTGGGCAATGAGCCTGAGGCTGGGAACGGGGCCTCGCCACCTTCTGCCCCCTCCTTCACGGTCTGCCCGTGGAGCTCAGCGGGGAACCCCGGGTACACACCTCTGGAGGACATGGCACCAGCTGCAGTTGAAGGTCAGGTCCGAGGACACACAGGCGTCGCAGCTCTGATGCTGCAGGCAGGCTGCAAAACAGAAGGCGTGGCCGCTCAGCCCCAGGACCTGTCCACAGGATCCCTACATTTTGGGTCCTTTCAGAACTATGGAGTCTCTGGCATAAAGGGGACCCTCAAGGTCATTAACGCCCCCCTCACATGAGGCCAGCGCCGATTAACCTCCTTATCTCTTCCCTTCCTTCCCTCGTTCTCCAGGGGCTCAGGCCCTGAGCTGGTGCTAGAGATTCAACAGGAAAATCTCATCCTGAACCCAAGCAGGGATCCCCAAAAAAGCCTGAGGTCCCTCTTTCCCCTTTTGTTGAGAAGAAACAATGGAAATTCCCCAAGCTGAAAATTAGTAAGAGCAGAGGTGAAGGTAAGCTATCTTTTTAAACTGCTTGGAATGCAAGGTTCATTGACATGTTAGTGGCCTGCACCCAACATGGCCACCATGCCTTTCCTCCGGCAACGCTCTAAAAACTCCTGAGTAAAGCTGTCTGCGTCATTTCAATGAACCGACAGGGACTCTTCCCAAAGAACCCGTCCCCTCTCTCCTTACCTGCCCTATAGAAATTAGTTTCTTAGCTGTGGGAATTAGGGAATAGTTGAAAGATAATAAGAACTCCCACTTGAAGGAAAAGAGACAGAATAACTCAAATTTTAAGATGTTTTGCAGAGTGGAGATTGCTGGCTGTGAGCATACAGACCCAGAATGAACGCCACCAGAGACCTGACAACTGCCTCCTCCCAGAGTGGAAACTGATCGGCTAAAGCCCCGTCAATCAAGAAAGCCCTTGAGAAGATCCTGCCACATAGTTCACGCATTTGATTGCACAGGGACAGGCACTTGCCTAGAAAGTGTGCAGCGTCAGGGCTCATCTCATAAGCAGCCGAACGGAGCGCATTGACGGCAGCAAGAAGGGACAAGTAACTAGAGGACAAGGACCACTCGATAAGTGTGCTGCGCAGTTCTTCCTAAGTGAGTTTCCATGCAACAATCCCACAGTGCATTAGTCAGGGAACTAATTGGCCTTACACAGAGCTCTAACAAGATGGCAGCTGGGAACTACCCTTGGCGAGTTGGAGACAGGCTGTGTGGGCAAGGTGTGACCACCTTTAGACCTTTGGTGGGTGGGCTTGGTGGTTGGTGGCACTGTGTCCTTTGTCTACCATGGCCCTGCAGGCTCTGGAAGGGTGCATAGAACACCACGGCAGGAACCAAGCAGGGACCAGCCTGAGCAGAAGGATGAGTGCTCTTTGATTGTTTCTTTTCCTGGCTTATCCGGGGGGCTAGCACAGCGCCCAGCCATGTATGTTCAATGGATTCTACGTGCTCTTGTTATGCCCCTCTTACAGAGGAGGGAACTGAGACTTGGAGAGAGTCCTGGAGCTAAGAGTGGCAGGTCTGGGTTTGAACCACGGTCTGTCTGAGCCTAAGCCCAAGCTCTTAGCCTCGAGGTCCCACTGTGGATTTCTCTGCCCATCTACACCTCTAGAAGCACCTTGGGCAAGTCCTCCCCATGCCAGAATAGTAAGGGATGCCAGGAGATGCAGAGTGCTCTTGGGACAAAGCCGACTGGGCTCCTGAGGGCTCAGATCACAACCTGGACAACACACTCAAGTCCCACCAGCCGTCCACATGGACACCTATGCGGGAGCCCAGGCCTTGCCATCCCAGCAACTCTGGAGGTCCTTAAAATGCTCCAGCCAAACGGGCCACAAGAGGAAACCCTAAGAGCCTCATGGGGTACCCATGGCACCTACTGACCTTCCTTCCTCACCTGCACCACATGCCCTGCCTCTACAACATGCTCATGGATTCACCGGGAGTGGGGGTGGGGGTGTCTTCAATGTTCCGACAGTGTCCCAGAAACGTATTCCCAGGATGTCACTGCTTCTGTCCAGCAGTGAGCCCTGCCCTTGGATGTCCCTCTTCTAAATGTAGTTTTATCTGAGTCCCAGGACTGCGGTTTGCTCTCAGCAGCCCTGGAGGAATCCCTAGTTCTCAGGCCCTACGTCTCCCTGGTTCTCAGGCCCTCGGGCTCCGGCCTCGACGGAGAGAGTGACTGGGTTGCGGGTGAGGGCGTGACTACAAAGTGTCCTCGCCCTGTGACCCCCTGGTGTCTGGGTCTTTCGTCTTCTTCAGGGTAGGACACCTGCTGAGCCCTGGCTGCCTAGTGAGAAGATTCTTCCTCCTCCTTCCTGCTCTACCTGCCTGATCCCAGATCTCCAAGGAGGAGGAAGGGAGAAGGAGAAGCCAGGGTTGCCACAGAAGGCAGGGAGAAGGCCTTGGTTTCAGAGGGGAGCTGGAGGCACATGAGATGGGAGAGGAAGTTAACATCCTCTTAAAGACACAAGAATGGGGGCCAGCCAGTGGTGTGGTAGTTAAAGTGCCTGGATCCCACATGGCCAACCTGCAGTTCAACTCCCTAGCCTGGCAGCTTGAGTAACATGCCAGGTTCATGTGTGTGCCCAAAATCCCTACAAGAAAGAGAAATGAAGGAGAAGAGATTTGGGCATGACCATTCCTCATAGGGGATGCTTTCTCATCTTCCCCTGAAATCTCTGCACAAGTGCATGTGCCCTCTGGCCATCAAAAAAAAAAAAAAAAAAAGACACAAGAAGGAAGTGAGGCCTTTTCCCTCACTCTCCCCAGCTGTCCTAATCAAATCCCCAAGAGCATCGCCCTCTATCCGACAGGAGCAGCAGTAGCAGGTGGGGTCCCAGTCATGGTGGGTCTTCAACTCTAGGTAAGTGGGGCGTGGACAGGGGAGGGAGCAGGCCTCGAGGTGCTGGATGGGTGCTTACTAAATCCTTGCATTGCCTTCTGTCTATGGACTCCAGTGTCACCTCCTCCAAGGAAATTACGACAAACTATTATCTATTCATGAAACACTTCCCAGGCATCAGAGCCGCGCTTACGTGCCCCGTTCTACCTTGGAGTCTAACCCTTCCTTAGCTCTGCAAGGGAGGTGGTGTTAGGTTCCTATTCTAAGAGAAAAACGGAGGCCCAGGGTTCAGAGCCCAGCCCCACAGGGGTCAGCGGTAGGCCTAGTGGTGGGTGAACTCAGTCTGACTCCAAAGCTTTTTCCATATCACAGAATGCCCCCATCAGTGGGAATGACCCCTACTCACTTGGCAATGGGGTGAACTCCACGGCTGACTTGCTGATGATCTTGCTCGGGTCCAGCTCCACACGGTGGTATTCGAAGATGGTCCTTCGCCGACTTTCTGAAACAGAGGCAAAGCCTGTCATCAGGAGCGTGTCCCAGTCAGAGGACTTTGTACCCACACCCTGGCACGCAGCTGCTGAGGGCAAAAAGTAACCCGTCAACCTGACAGAATGGTGTTGAAGTTGCAGGGAGGCAGGAGGACAGGAGCGGCCTTGAGAGGAGAGCCTTGGTTGTACACAGGCTTGACTTGATGCATGTCCCTAGAGTTGGGACGTGAGGGGTCCTTTGCTTCCCCATGTCTCTCTGCCTTCTCACCTGCTATTCCCCCAACCCAGATATTCTCCCCCTGATTCTCTCCTTGTCTAACTCATCCTTCCAGATCCAGCTCAAAGGCCTCCTCCTAGAGGCTCCTAAGGAGCCTCCTTGACCAGCTCCCTCCTCACCCCAATTCATGACAGGTGCGCTCCTGCCCCTGCACGCACCAGGTTGTGGGGACATGAGGGCCTATTCAGCCTTGACTCACAATGAGCACCCTACAGACACCAGACAGGCTGATCTTTGCATAACGCTGACCTTCTTCCTCCTATCCTCCCCTCGAGAGAAGCCCCAGGTAGTTCAGGGCCTGAAAGCAGGCTTAAGTCCTACCTTGGTCCCTGCCGAAACTTCCTACAAAATCTAAGTCTGATGATATAGTGGATACATCGCTGGACTCCCACATGGCTAACCATGGCTCCAGCTCTGGACCCAGTGGCTTGAAAATCACACTGGGCGCATGTGCGTGTGTGCCCAAGATCCTGGGAGGAGAATGGGGGAGAAGGTATTGCGGCGTGACCATCCCCCCTGGGGGGTGATTTCTCACTTTTTCTCTCACTGTCTCTGTCTCTCTCCAGCGAGCACACATGCCCTAAGGCAAAAGTCTCTTAATAATAAAAAAAAAGGTGGGGGGCTTGGTTTATATTCTGGTCACCGTGTGTGTGTGTGTGTGTGTGTGTGTGTGTGTGAGCACGAGTGTATGTGGGGATCCCGCACACATGCCCTAAGGCAAAAATCTCTTAATAAATAAATTAATTAATTAATTTAAAAAACCTGAGTCAGGAGACTCACATTCTGATTAAAGTTCTGCTCCTAACTTGCGGGGTAACCTTAGGCAAATCATTTGAGTCTCAGTTTCTTGTCTATGAAATTGGAAGACAGAAACACCTGCTACGACATCCTTGGGACATAAATCTGGAACTGTAGAGAAAAATATTTTTCTAGAATCTGAGGTGCTCTGATATTTTTCATACCACCATGACACCCAAAAAGTATAACTAAAGGTTGGTTTTCTTCAGGCAGCCAGAGTCTGAGCTTTGTAAAACAAATTTCACCATAAGGGGAAAGAGCACTTAGTGTGGTCTACCCAGCCCTCCTTCCTCCTTCTGGAAACAGAATTCCCTTTAGGAGAACTGCCCCTAGCTCACACTTAGATGTGGATTGCTCCAAAACAGACATCTTCTTCCATGATCCTGCTTCCCTGGATCCCCCTGGCAGTGACTGGTCCAGGGCTGGGCAGCTGACGGGAGCTGGACCAATCAGAGACCTTCCCTGGGACTCTTAACTGTTACCAAGAGGACTTTTGCTCTCTGGTAATGACGCTGTAAGAAGATGTAAGCTCAGAGCCTGTGAACAGCCACCATTCCAATCTCATGGGGAAAGCCCAAGAGTGAAGCCACTTTGTGGAGAGATACAGAAGCTACTGGTGGTGTTCCCAGTCCTGGAGTCCCAGACCTGCCCTAGTACCAATCTTCCTAGTTGTTCAGCTCTTCCTTTGGTTCTTTGGCCTATTTCAGTATCCCTCAATGCACTCTCTTTTCTGTTTAAGCTAGTGTGAATTGGATTTTCGTCACTAGAAACCCAGAGTAGGTGACAATGTAAGTTTCTCACTCAGCTGAAAGTGGCTTGGAGGCAAATTTCCCAAGGTGGCAGCAGAGGTAGTAGGAGCATTCATGCCATGGAGTGCGTCCTGTACTACTGTTGGGTGTCCCAACCGCCACTCCCCTTCCTATATGAAGAATCTAGAGGAGTCTACTGCTTAACAGAATAGCTCAGCTGTACGAGGGGACTTCAGAAAGTCCCTGGGGTGGGGGTAGATGTAGCATATCAGTAATGCCACACTCAGCAAGGCTGATTCACATGATAAAGTCCCAAGTTTGCCTCCCAGGCCTCCCTGCACATGTTAATGATCTCGGCTGACTAGGCTGGGGGTAGATTGAGGAATGAAGACCGTGTTGGGGGTGTCCTCCATCTTTCTCTCTCATGTAAAAAAATAAATAATTTTTTGTAAAAAGCTCATAAATGGGGGGACCAGCAGATACCGTAATGGCTACATCGCTGGACTCCCATGTAGATGACCGCGGTTCAAGTCCCAGACCCAGTGGTTTAAACTCACGTTGGGCGCATGTGTGTGCATGCGTGCCCAAGATCCTGAGAGGAGAATGGAGGAGAAGGGATTGTGGCATGGCCATCCCCCCTGGGGGGTGATTTCTTGCTTTCTGTCTCTCTTTGTCTGTCCGGCAAGCGCATGCGCCCTATAGCAAAAACCTCTCCAAAAAAAAAAAAAAGCTCATAAATGGGATCAGCAAGTGACATAATGGTTATGTCACTGGACTCCCTCATGGCCAATTGTGGTTCAAGTCTCAGATCTGGTGGCTTGAAACTCAGATTGGGCATGTGTGTGTGTATGCCCAAGATCCCAAGATGAGAATAGAGAAAAAGGGATTGCAGCATGGCTATTCCCTTTGGGAGGTGATTTCTCACTTTCTGTCTCTCTGGTGAGCACATAGGCCCTATAGCAAAAATATCCCTAAAAAAAAAAAAGTTCGGGACCAGCAGTTAGCGTAATGGCTATGTTGCTGAACTCCCATGTAGTCAACTGCACTTCGAGTCCTGGACCCGGTGGCTTAAACTCATGCCGGGCACATGTGCGTGCATGCCCAAGATCCCGAGAGGAGAATGGAAGAGAAGGGATTGCGGCATGGCCATTCCCCCTAGAGGGTGATTTCTCGCTTTCTGTCTCTCTCTCTCTCTCTCTCTCTGTCCTTTTGGTGAGTGCACGTGCCCTATAGCAAAAACCTCTCAAAAAAAAAAAATCATACGAAAAGGGAATTAAAGCCCAAGTGCAAAGAAACATTTGCAATCCATGCGGGTTTTCTCATAATATGCATCACCCATGAACTCCCTGAAGCCGCCTGTGTTTCTGTCACGCATTTATCCTCAGTCTTGGAGTTGTTCCTTCTGACTTAGCACGGGGCTGAATCCAGGGTGTCTGGCACCAAGGTGCACCGTCTCTCTACCACACCCCGCCATCCTATGGTGGTGGACACCTTGGCCCTGAACCATTCGAGACCCTATAGCACCATTCCATGCCATAAGGAAACGACCCTGGTATTGGAGCCAGCAAGTGTCCCCGGGAATTAACCAGGAATCTATCCCCGAGGCCTGACCCACTCCCCAGTTGCCAGGAAGGTTCACCTGTCACTCATGGCTCAGGGCCTGCTCTGAACAGGAAGGAGAGGGTGGAGAGACGGCCATGGAGGAAGAGAAACCCCGAACCAAGAGGGTGAACACCAGGAAGGGGAAGTGGGCAGGTCACTGCAAGGAGGCAGCAGGCCCTGCCTGGTACTGCTGCTGTCACCTGCACAAGGAACTTCAGCTCTGGAAGCCGCATCCCGCAACGGGACTAGCCCAGCCGCACTTGGAGGGTTGTCTGGAGAACTGAAGAGAACAGCTTCTGTACTAAGCTCCTGGACCAGGACACTCACAGCCGGGAGTGCTCTCCTCACATCCCCAAGTCCTTTCTTGCAGCAGAGACCCTAGGGCGTTTTCAGCCCCTCCTGGCCCCTCAAACTCTGCCACATACTTGAGTACGGGGAAGGACGGCACGCTCCTGGCCCCTTTCTTTCTCCCTCTCTGTCTAGGGCGGCGTATTCATGAGCGACTCACTAGTGGGTCTCGAAGCTCCCTCCTGCTGCGGAAGTCGCGTGGGTAGAGCAGGGACTCCTCCGGAGGGCCTGGCCTCCGTACTGGGCTGACAGTCGGATGTCCTGGTCTCCCACCTTCACCTTGCCAGCCACGACTGCCACCCCACCCATCCCCGCCTCCATGCCCTGTGCCCTCTCCTGTCCCCGCTGGCCTCCAAGTCCAGGCTGCTTGCTTCTCTTCCTGTGGGTGCCATCCCCACCCTGGCTTCCCCTCTTTCTTCCTGGTCTAGAGTAGATGCTGCTTCGTGCTTTGCTGTGAACCTCAGTCCCAGGAGAAGGTAAGGAGAGAAGCCAGACATGTCGCTTCCAGAAGGCAAATGGGCCTGGGGCTGGGGTGACTGTCCCAGGCCCCCACTGAGGGCTGCTCAGAGGGTGCTCGTCTCGGGTTCCTCCCACCGCACCCACCTATGGGCTGTCCTGAGACGGGCAGTGGGAGGGCTTGGCCCTGGCTCTCCTTTCCTGCCAGGGAGGATGGCCGCTCTGGCCCCGATGCACCTTCCCGCCCCTTGACTCTTAAATCAGAGCTGGAAGGTTTAGACTGAGACCCAGGCCTCCTCCTGCCTCTTCCCCTTCCTCCCATTTCCGGGCAGATCAGGAAAGAGTGAGAGATAGCGGGGATTCAGAAGGTCCAGGCAGGTGCCCATCAGGGGAGCACTGCCCGGGTGCGGGCTCTCTGAGAGGTGAGATGGGCCACAGCGTCAGAGATGGTCCCTGACATACCAGGTGGAGAGCGGGGTGCTAAGAAGCCAAGTTACCGGGACCAGCAGGTGGTGTAATGGTTACGTCGCTGGACTCCCAGGTGGTCAACTGCAGTTCAAGTTCCAGACCCACCAGCTTGAAACTCATGCTGGGCACATGTGCTCGAGTGCCCCAAATCCCAAGAGGAGACTAGAAAAGAAGGGGTTGTGGTGTGGCCTTCCCTCCTGGGGGATGCTTTCTTCCTTTCTGTCTCTCCGACTCTTTGTCTCTCCAGCAAGCACACGTGCCCTATAGCAAAAATCTCTCAAAAAAAAAAAAAAAAAAAAAAAAAAAAAGCCAA